TTGATCCATCGGATTAGAGTGACGATCTGTGAAGTGACGTGTTGATGGATTGGAGGCACGAAAATTTGTTCGAAGTTTGGATTTGTTGTTCGCCTGCATCTTTGAATTATTTCTTTAAATATAATTTAACAAGACTGCTTCCTCACTCTTTGTTACACGCTTCAAATCTTCATACTGCTCACATAGTTTCCGAATAGTCTGAAATTTCTGATCCGGACAGAGCAGTAAATTTAGCTTTAATTCGGGCAGTTGGATGTCAGCAACGAGCCTATCACGCGGCTGGTCTTCTAATTGGACACCGCAGTCACATTTGGCCGCCCATGTCTGCAGCTGCAGTACGAAATCACGAACCGGCTGTGAATGGGAGCGGGTCAACATAATGAACCCAGCTCTTTCAGCTGCTACGAACTTACTCGGTTTGAAGCCTTGAAGAACTATTTTCTTCGATGCATTGTAGGAAATATCGATTGGAGATTACAGATATACCAAATTTTTGATCGATCGACACGCCTCCTTGCTAAAAAAATGTGGGAAATATGCCGTGAGTTTCTTATCATCCATACCAGATTTTGTGAGACACCATATGTCGAACAGTTCCAAATAATCCTTTACGTCTCGCGCAGAAATCCTGGAGTTCCAATGCCAGCGCCCTCCAAATGGATGTAGACGCTGCCAAGCAGTGGTCGTTGGACTGGCACCTTCCTCTGAATGATGAAAAGTGCGTCCATGTGTCGTTTGGAGGGGATTCAGCGAATGCCTTTGTTATGCATGGTGAAAAGGGACCAGAAAACATCATGAGGATAGATGCCAAAAAAAGATTTGGGCATCTGGGTCTCCTCAAACTTGTCCTTCGCACTACACCATGAGAAATCGGCCCAAAAGGCATTCGCCGTTTTACGGATGATCCGACGTACCTTCTCCCGTATTACGGGAGACGTCAGACCGCTCCTGGAGTACGCCAACAAAGTTGTCTACTCAGGACGTACGAAAGACGTTACCCTCATTGAGCGTGTCCAGCGGGCCGCCACGAGAATAGTTGCCGGCCTCAAGTCCGTGGACTACGAAACGCGTCTCGCGACGCTTGATCTATTTCCCCTGGAGTACCGTCGCCTCCAAGGGGACCTAATTCTTACCTACGCCCTGTTTGAACAAAGCTTGACAAACAGGTTTTTTACCGTTGACCCAGCAAACACCCGGCGGGGACATAGTAAGAAAATCTTCAAGCTGCCATGCCATCATTGGCCTGACATGCGTCGGTTTTTAGACAACCACTTAGCGAACTTCACACTTATTGTAGTTCACAGTAAGTCAGAAGAACACGTAAGTATGGACACAGGTGTATTGAGTACACGCGGTCAAACTGGTCCGCTTTCGCGGCAGGTAAGCAAAACAACTGTGTCATATCCAGTCAACCCACGGCGCTCACGCGAGCCAATCAATCGGACACGTATCCAATCTGCCACTCAAGTCACACGTCAGATCGATGGTGGGACGAAGAACGGACACGCACACGCGCAAATTCTCTGACACACCGAAGCAGCTACTACAGTCCTCCACCGCTAGATTTAGCCAACTCCAGCTTGGTAGCGTTCGACCAGCCTTGACTCCCTAGCCGACCGGCGCAGACACCTTGACGCATCTGTGGGTGTTTCGGACCTCTCTTGCTCCCGTTCGGAGTCCACCTGCACTGTCGTCTCCAGTGTTTGTTCTGCATCTGGTCCATGATTCCAAGTTCTGATATGGTCTAAATGACGGCGTATTAACCTCCCGTCTTCTAACAGCATGTCAATAAGGTTACGGTTTGTCGACCTCACACATCCATGCACCCATTCATTATCTGAAGGCTGAAGTTTGACGTAAACCTCCTCGCCATCCCGTAATGTGCGAGGTCGGTCGTGTTTATCCGCGTTTTACTTCATGGAAAACTGCTGTTGTTTTACCTTAAGCGACAAATCTGGTCGCAGCAGATTCGAACGTGTTCTGAGTCTTCGGTCCATTAGCAATTTGCAGGGGGCCTGGCCCGTAATAGTTTGCGGCGTAATTCTGTATTGCAGCAAAAACTTGTCCAACCTTGCTTGTAGGGGACCAGGGCTTTGTTTTCTCAACCCATTCTTTAACGTTGCCACCGCGCGTTCCCCCAGGCCGTTAGAAGCGGGATGGTATGGTGCTGTAAGAACATGCGCAATCCCGTTGGCTCTCAGAAACTGCTGAAATTCCACATTGGTAAAAGCCGTGCCGTTATCAGAAGCAGTCATATCCGGCACACCATGCGATGCGTAAATGCTGTGAAGTGTAGACATGGTCAACGTACTAGATGCAGTCCTAGTGGGCACTGCCTCAATCCAATTGGAATATGCATAGACAATCGTCAGGATCATGTAACCTTCAACAGGGCCACAATAATCCACTTGTATGCGGCTCTACGGTCGTGACGGCCACTGCCATGGTGATATGGGTGCTGCTGCGGGCAAAGCCCTGCTTTGCTGACTTGCTTCACACCTTTGAACGATCATTTCCACATCGTGATTGATACCAATTCCCTTGTCCTGGAGCGTACCGCAAATGATACCGATAGCATGCAAGTTTTAAGGTCCAACGTTGCGTTCTAGGTGACGTTATTTGGGGTATTGTTTTATTTTCTCCGAGAATTCCAAGTAGAGGCTTGTGGTCCGTAAATATGTCGAACGTTTGTCCGAAAAGTTAGTGCTGAAAGCGCGTGACTCCGAACAGAATCGCCAATGCCTCCTTATCAATTTGTGCGTAATTCCTCTCTGCAGGCGACATGAAGCGTAAGCAACTGGTTTGAGGATTCCCGATTTATCCTTCTGCGATAACACAGCTCCAACACCATATGGTTGAATCGAAATGAGTAAGCACCGGAGGATTCGTAAGGGCACGTTTCGCCTGTTGAAACACCTTCTCTTGTTCTTGATTCCAAATCCAGCTGACTCCCTGACGTAGCAAGTAATTCGGTGGGTGAAAAAGTGTGGCAGCTTGCGGGATAAACCTCGCGTAGTGATTAACCATGCCGAAGAAAGATCTTAGTTCATGTTTATTCCTTGGTTGCGGTGACTCTAATATTGGACGTATTTTCTCGGCTAGAGGGGCCAAACCATCCGCACTGCTGCGGAAACCCAAATAGTCCACCTGATCTACGAGGAAGCCACACATCTCCTTCTTTATTTGTAGTCCACACTCCTTCAAACGATCGAGTACCAGTTTCAGCAACTTCAAATGCTCCTCAATGTTGCACCAGGTTATCAGAATATCGTCTAGATAGACGAACGTTTTAGGTATCCCCGCGATAACATTTTCAATTGTGCGTTGAAATATGGATGGAGCGGAATGGATTCCAAAAGGAAGGCGATTAAACATAAACAGACCTCTATGAGTACTGATGGTTGTAACAGGTTTCGCCTCCTCCGTTAATTCCAATTGCTCATAAGCCTGAGCTAGGTCTAGTTTTGAAAAATATTTGCTCTTACCGATTTGTGCATAGACATCTTCGATTTTAGGTAACGGGTAATGTTCTGGGGGTGTGCTGGCATTGACCGTGGTTTTATAGTCACCGCAAATTCTAACTGTGCCATCCGGGTTCAGTATTGGCACGATTGGTGTGGCCCACTCCGAGAACTCCGTGCTTTGAATTATTCCTTCCCGTTGCAAACGGTTAAGTTCTTCTTCAACCTTTGGACGCATCAAGTAGGGCAATGACCGAGCCTTCAGGAATCGCGGTTGTGTTCCAGGCGGAACGTATATATTCACCTTTCCCCCGGAGAACTTGCCAGTATTCGGCTCAGAAAATACTTCTTCATAATTGCGGATAAGAGATTGAACCTCCGGGAGTGTCGAGACCTGGTTTAACGTAAGTATGGGTAGCTGTTGAAGCCAGTCACGTCCTAACAAGTTTGGACCACTTGCTTCAGCAATGTATATGGTTTCGTTCACCGTCACACACTTATATGGAACATTCACATTTTTCGTCCCCAGCAACTTCACCTCTTCTCCTGTATATGTTCGAAGCCGGACTGGGGCTTGCTGAAGTTTACCTTTCACGGTCGGTCCCGGGTTGTCTTGCCATGATTTTTCAATGCACAGTGTTACGGCACTACCCGTATCCAGCTCAAAGACCATTGGCGCATTGTTCACCTGTAGTTCTACTTGATACGGCGACTGACCGCGGTTGGTGGGAGCAGCTACATGAAGGACGTATTCTGGGACTTCTGACCTTGTGACTTGATTCGTACCAGCAGGTTTAGTTTCGGACGCTGGTGCTGAGTGGCATACTTTCACGAGGTGGCTACGTTTCTGACAGTGATTGCAAACAGTTTGTGTGTGCCGGCAATCCTTTGGTTGATTGTGACGGCCTCCACAACGATAACACTTAAACTGTGTTCTGTTCGACGGTTGCTGTAATCGATTCACCTGATACGATGAATCCACCGACTCTGATGTCACGGTAGGTTGCACAGATTGTAACAAGGTTGTGTTATTTTCTGCTGCTTCCAATGCCACCGCAGTATCGTAGGCCGATTCCAAAGTTAAGTTACTGTCAGCAAGTAAACACTGTTGTATGCGGGCGTTTCTCACACCAACTACCAAGCGATCTCTGAGCATATCGCTCCGAAAATCTTCATAGTCACAGTTCTCCCTAAGGCTCCGTAATTCCGCTACGAAATCCGCAATGGATTTTCCTTTCTTTTGTACCCTTGTATTGAACTTGAATCGCTGTGCGATAACAGAAGGCTTAGGATTGTAATGCTTGGAAACGATAGACACAAGATCGTCAAAAGTCCTCGTATTTGGTAAATCCAGAGAGTCCAAGCTGCGTATCAAACTGTATGTCGCCGAGCCACAAATCGTAAGAAGTACGTTCACTTTCCGCTTGTCGTCGGTGGTCTCGTTTGCAAGAAAGTAACAATTTACCCGTTCCACATATTGGTTCCAGGAACCTCCAGTAGCATTAAATTATTCTAGCTTTCCGCAAGACATTTTGTAAGATGGTTTCGTCAGACCCTCACCAGTATTGTAGTTCACAGTAAGTCAGAAGAACACGTAAGTATGGACACAGGTGTATTGAGTACACTCGGCCAAAGTGGTCCGCATTCGTGGCAGGTAAGCAAAACAACTGAGTCACATATCCAGTCAACCCACAGCGCTCACGCGAGCCAATCAATCGGACACGCATCCAATCTGCCACTCAAGTCACACGTCAGATCGATGGTGGGACGCCGAACGGACACACACACGAGCTAAATCTCGGACACACCGAAGCAGCTTCTACAACACTAAAAGTGATTTGGCGGGGATGTGCGATTCTTTGGGCAGCGGGAGTTATTCTAGCCTGGCCAAGGAAACAAGCTGAAACGAAGCCGATATGGGATCGCAGGGTTTTTGTCCGTTTTGGGATCCTGTGTTTGTAGATCTTAGGCAGGTGGAGTGGATAACAGCCAAACAAGTCTTCCAAACCCGACATTGCCGCGGTTCAAATCTTGGGAAAATGAGGTGGTGGGATGAGATTAGTGAAGCATGGTGCGTTTGAGGCGACACCAAATGGGATAATGTGCGTTAATATACATAGAAATAAAAACTTGACGTCTGTTTCGATTAGAGTGATGAAAAATGGTTATATGGAACAAGATATAGATGGATGTGCACCTAGTAGACTGGCGACCAGGGGTTGGGTTTGCTAACATGATATTGAATTAGAAAGGTTCTAGTAAAAATCGATCTAAGTACGCAGAGTGGTGGTCTGGACATCAGATGTATAAGGGCAGACAGGAGTGAATATCTGAGATGATTGATTGGTCTGGTGTTTACTACATGATTTGGGCAGTACCAGCAAAAGGAAGAAGGCTTTTGCTACGGAGTTGTTTATTAGAGAAGCATCAACTGAACAGTTTCAGACTATTGGATAGTGGAGAAAAACTCTCATGTGCATCATGTTTACAAAACCGAACACCAATATTCTCCTTGACCGCGTCTTCCTGAAGTTTCCTGGATACCCAGTTGCTGGTGCTCAAACGCAAGCAAATGCTACAAATGCCACAATTTTCGTAATAGATCTCACTTTTCAGGAGACCTGAAGCGGATTTAGGAGAAAAAACTCCACATGCCTCATCACTGTTATCCACCTTTACACCAGGGAGAAAGTAAGTGTAAGAGAAAAAGTCACCAGTTCCCGAAGCACTGCTACGAGCTTCAAGGAATCAGGTGGTGCAGGGAGAATAGAAAGCTACTGGACACTAGTCTTGCATGCTGGTAGGGTTAGGAGCTTCTGTATCTGTTCGCTTCGGGGATCAGTCAGTAAGTGCGTGTTTTTCTATCGACTAAGTTAACTTTGGTGCGGTACAGCAACAAGCACGGGAAGGGCTGCTACATTTTTACACCACCACGTAAGCCGGGGCATCATAGAGTGCTCAGGCTATTCCATCTGTTTTTAACGAATTTCGTTTTCTTAAGAGACAGTAGGTTAGTGTTTTCTGTTGTATTTTTTAAATCGTTTGTGGCTAGTGCTTTGCCGGTTAAATGACAACCGGGACGAGTCCAACCCAGCAGCAACAAACAGAAAGCCACAGTTTTATGGATTTCCTGAATTAAGGGCTGTGCTATGAACCACCGGCGATGAGCGAAGCACTCGTGCTACTAAAGGGGTGGCGTTTCTACGAACATACCATGGTGCAGCGCATCCTGAAGGACGTACCGACCACCACACGAGGTTTTCGTCCCTCGTGCATGCTACCAGATCAACAAAGTGCCATCCCACCAAGCCATTGTAACTGCGGCTTATGTAATAATAAATAACTCCAGCTACCAGTTATTCAACCGGTTGAGGAAGGCAAGTTTAGTGAAACAGCTCAGTCGGTTTGAACAAACAAACGGGCGAAAACCGCTGGAGAAGGCTAATCGCGGAGGCAAATTAGGGGGCAGCTACCGCTGGGACTATTCGGACAGAACGGAGATGACCGCAGCGTATAAACCATGGCTGAGCTTTAACGGAGCATGAGCTACGGAGCCAAACATCGGCATACCGAATGTTGTTTGCGCGTGCTGAAGTGGTTTTGAGGCGCATAATCCGGTCTCAGGAACTTTACTTTTGTTCGGTTTATGCTGGTTAGCGTTAAGCAGGATGAAGCGCCACTCATTAAACTGAGTAGATAGAGTAGTCCAGGGCAGGGACCCAGCTTTGGTATGGTATAATTCGCCTTACGCAAGTCAAATAAGTAGCACCTATAGTGAGGGGTTGGATTATTTTTCAACTATTGTTTTAATTATTTGTTCGCCGAATTCAGAGATGCCTCCAACCCCGTTCCTAAAGGCCATCGCGGGTTAGCTGGGTAGTAACTAGGGCGGCTGGGACCTCACACGTAAGGAAGTTGTCTGCAAACCGTGAAAATTTATGCTGTGATATTTCGAGATCCAACGGGAGGACTGTTCCAGATGCAAGTGTAGCAAACCAAGAAAAATTAGCGTTGTAGGTTTGTGCTAAAATACTGCTGGATTTACGGAATTTATATTGTGCCTATGACTATACGTTTGGCCCAGGCTCTGCCATAAAAGCATTTCGGTACAACGGACGGTGTAAGTGAGCTAAGTTTAGCTCTCACGGTCTGAGACATAGTGGCTCAAGACCCACGATTAGCCCCACTGGCATACCGTGTAAGGTGACGTGGGGCATCCTGAAGTGCGCAACAATAATTTGCCCCAGTACCAATAACTTGACATTCACGATGAAACAACGATCCCTCCGAAACCATTCTTACATAGCCATTATTCTCATATTTATGAACAGCGTGACCCAAGCTGGGGACGGAGGACTCATTTGGGGTGCCACATTTTTCGACCGTAATGGCATCCGGTGGAGTTCCAAATGTTCCGCTGCTGCAAAAGTACCAGTCCCACGGGATTCAGGGGGAAATACTACACCGGATTAAGGCGTTCTAATCAGGTGAACATTCCGAGTGGGACCATTCTCGTCCAGGTCCACGTCGACAACTTTTAAGATTTCCCCTCAAGTCTATGTCTATTGTTTGCGGACAACCTGTAATCCTGGAGTTCCAGTACCAGTGCCCTACCAATTGATGTGGTCGCTGCGAAGCATTGGTCGTTTCCCTGGCATCATCCCCTGAATGACGAAAAATGCCTTCATATGTCACCAGGAGGAGATTCAGCAAACCCCTATCATTCATGGTGAGCAATGACAAGAAGACAGCAGAAAGACAGATGCCGAAACGGATTTGGGTGTCTGTCTGTCTTCAAACATGTACTTCACACTGCACAATGAGAAATCTACTCATAAGGCTTTGAAAGTCCTGTGGGCGGTTCGAAGCACCTTCCCCCGTGTTACTTGCAAGGCCTTCCAGAATATCTAATGGGCCTACATCAGACCGCTTCTTGAATATGTTAACCAAGTTGCCTATACAGAAGGCAAGAAGGACATGGCCTCCATTGACCGTGTCTGGCAAGCTGCTATAAAAATGTTTCCTGGCTTTAAATCCCTGAACCATGTAACGCGTCCCGTGTGGCCTAACCTCCTTCTCCAGGAGTATCACCCCTTCCGAGGGGACCTAGTTCTGTTCGAACTAGGTTTGGCCAACAGGTTTTTCACCGCTGACCAAGCAAACACACGGTGGGGACACGGTGAGAAGACTTTCAAGCGCATTGCGCACAATTCCACTAGACAAAACTTTTTTCTCATTTCATGTAGCTTCTGCATGAAATAACCTTCCTCCACGGTTGTCCACACCCTATCCAGCACCAACTTTGAGGTACTATTACGCGCTTTTTTCTGCGAGTACTTCCGCTGCTCACCTTATCATCCCGCACTGAGAAACTAAAGATAAGTGCTACACATTTTTTCGCTTGCACATTTCAGGTAAACAGTAGGCGCTGAACGTCAAGAACAAAATAGACCCGGGAAACCTGGGACAGGGCCACGATCCTCAATTCGTGAATCCGCGAATCTCACTTAAACACAAGTCCTCAGTACAGTACCAAATATCGGCCCCAAGAGCAATTGATGTTCTCTGACCAATGCTGAACACTTAGCTCAGCACCGGAAGAATGGAGAATTGGGATACGGAGGTCATGAAAATGCCCTTGGCCTAGTGTAGCATCTGCGGATTTCGAAAAATAAAATCAATTGTTCCGTGAACTGAATACAAAATTATTGAGTCACTGAGCTCAAGGGGGTTGAATTCGACCTAAGGAAGGTTTTGCTACTTTTTGATTTTCAAGGTTGATTTTCCGTTCCCTCTTTCTTTGTTCCGGGAATGCCGCTCAATTCGTTGTTCAAAAAGATAGAGCGAAGCAATCAAGTAAAAACTCGTCCTAGTCACTAACGTGTCTTAGTATCTCACGCAAAAGCTTACAAAAGCGAAAGGTACTGATGTCGGCGAGGAATACAAACAGTTGTCAGCGGTTAGTTTTATAATTTTATTAACTGTGAAACAACTATACGATCCAACTGTGTCGCCCGCAAAATCGACCCCAAGTTTTTTCACTTCGAACACACGGTTGGCTAACTCTTCCAGTTAGGGACTATTCGTCTTCGACGACTGAACCAGGTGTGTAGCAATGCGACCTAGCAAGAACGACGATGAGTTGTCTAGTGAGATCCCGTCTTACGATGCGCTGAGTGTGAATGGCCGAAAATCTGCGTTTGTGCAGCAATGTAATCAACTACATTATATGGTTTTAGCAAGTTTGCTTCATAGTTTTGTCCGAGGGAATCTCAATGACCAGGTGTCGTGTGTGTATTTCGCACGCCCTCAACGCAAATGAGTGGAAACGGGCAAGCGCGTGGGTCGTATCCACCTTGTCATTTCATGACCGGCGGAATCCGGTGATTGATCATTGCCACCCATATCTAATTGCTTCGTGGTCTATCTGTATTGGAAGCTGACTCACAGGCGAGCTGAACCATATGGCTCTCGTTGGTTCGTAATTTCATGATCGGCACATAACTACCATCACTCAAAAGCGGCCTTTGAGACTTAGAGCTTACTCTGGTAGAATGTACAGGCAACGGTTATCGACGCGTGTGCGGGATGCTTCCAGAGACATTACCAAAAGAAGGGGCAATTCACTCAGATCTTTTACTCTGTGACTAAAAAACGCTTACCCGGAGTAGCTTGCCACAACATCCTCTGGACGACCAGAGGTGCACAACCGGAATCGAGAGAAGTGCGCTTGGGAGCGCCAGGTTTTGAGGAATTATCCTGAAGTATCTGTAGCCGTAGTTAACTGTAGATATTACAGCTGATGGCAATGGGTGGCGAACGGATTCACCGGTCCATGAAAATTGGCCCATGGAGATGTTTCCAGCAGCAGGACGGAGTGAGAAAGAGGAAGGAGTATCCACCCTACTGTAGGTAGTAAGCAAGGCTATTGGGATAACGGCACCACGTGACGACCGATGTGGCTAGTGGTTATTTATAATTGCTCAGTTCATTGTGCACTGGCTGGGATGCCGCCAGTTTTGAACAGTAGGACGATCCTATCAGTCCATTTATTTCAAATGGTTTTGCCTATCCGATATGGTAGGTGGTAACAATTACGCAGTGGAGGCGATAGTTCCGACGCAAGACTGCCCTTGGCCGCATGATACAGGCATATCAAACAGGGTTACTAACCATTGGTCTCTCTTGTCTCGAGGTACGCATCCGGGAAGGTGGCATTTACCGACGCGACTGAGTTAACTAGTCATCATCATCATCATTGTCAGCCGTAATAACCACGTACTCGTCGTACAGTGGTTGTAGCTACCACAGTTTCGTTCACCGATTATTTGGGGGGTAGCTGCGCATTGCAGGCGGGAGCTGATAAATTGGTGCATAAATCCAGCACTGTCAGTGAGCTGTCGAGTGGGGGTGATTAGTAGGGTTATCGTGCTTTTTGCCGAGCTATTCACTCACTGCCCGCAAGTCTTTTCATTCCGATACAAGGCTCGGATAACAGGACTGTACGAGGCAACCGGTCTCCTCGCACACGGAGCACATGGCCTAACTAACGTGCCCAATGGATGGTGACCAGCTGATCTACCGAAGTAAACTTGAGTTTTTCGAAAACCATCTGGCGCATTTCAGCACCACTGAAGCACTAATGGTGTTTAAATCAGACTCGCGCTTCGTTTCGGAGGCACTGCCGCAAACACAGGGAGCCTTTGAAGGTCTTCATATGCAATGGCCAAGTCTGTGACCCATAGAGCCGGACAGATCGGACTGCGGCATTTTACGGCCTATCCTCGATAGCCAAGCTTGTGTTACATCGGTGCCACAAAAGGCAGAGTTTATCAGACGCTGTCCTGGCCTTCTAATTCTGGAATTGATTTCGTTTTTCGTCAGTGTGCCAAGACTTATGAAGCTACCCAGATAGATAGGCGTATACACGAAACCAATAAATTCATTTGCAAGTAAGTATGAGGAGTTTATCGGACGCTGTCCTGGCCTTCTAATTCTGGAGTTGATTTCGTTTTTCGTCAGTGTGCCAAGGCTTATGCAGCTACCCAGATAGATAGGCGTATACACGAAACCAATAAATTCATTTGCAAGTATGAACTTTAGATTTGATCCCACCGAGTCTTGCGGCGGTACTATACAGCAGCGAGACTAAAAACGGACTATGCAATGTAATTATCTGGGTTATTTAAACTGGTTATCACTTCTAAAGTGTCTGGCCAAAGAATAGCAATATAATCGGCGCGCTCAATGTCGCAAGCAAACATCCTGAGTGTATTTTGATCCTTGGCGTGCTAAAGGTGGGTAAAGGGGCGAGATGGCTCAACTGGTTAGAGCGTGAATTTACTGACCGGAAGGCCTCTCGACTTCCTCTGTCTAGGCTTGAGCAACCTGGCAGTATCCCAGCTCTCGTGCTTTCTTCAGGTAGCATGGCAGCTAGGCACCGGAAGGGTGTTACAGCTGGACGATTTTTTATTTTTCTAAAGGCGGGTGAAGAAGTTCCAAGGCGCTTATTGATTACGAAGTTAAAGTGAGGACAGGACACACTTGAGTGGGAACACTGTATGTGGTGAACTCAGGACAGTATTTATCGTCGACGCGTACGAGTCCGTAGGTGGCATGTAGAACTTTTATAAGCGACAAAAATTCAGAAGGGATACTCGTCATATCCGAAACTTCAGTATCTCAGTCAGCTGCGTAAAACGCGTGCTTGTATTTGGTTATTGTGGTTCACAAAGGCTGCTCTGGCCTTTCCACTGAGTGGAAATATCGCATTTGACTAGACCCCCGGGACTGATACAACTACCCAGGTAGACGAATTTGTCTACCTCAATCGGCTCATCGCTCAAGCTTAGATTTATGTCTGAGCACTTTTCAGGTGTGAAGCGCACTCCAAACTGCGAGTTAAAATTATTCAGATCATTTAATATCGTCTGAATTGATATGGTGTTTTCGAGATGGACGATCCAATGTGTATGATTAAGGCGAGCACAAGCGCTGTACCGGGTATAAAAAAGCATTTTCACGAGAACCCGGGGAATGCAACTTCATCATAATGGGACTACCCGATCGGGAGGCTATGACACCAAAGTGGCCAATCACAGCATCACGAGACCTAGAGCTGAGACAATAGTAGTCCAAGTTAGAAACGTTTTATTGGCCCGACGCGTTCGTCAAGGCCCGGTGGCGGCACTCATTAGTGCCGACCAAAAAATTGTAAGCAATGAGTCTATCAACCTAGCACACAGACGGTTTCCTTGCGTCATGTCCTAGTTTTTTCTGGACAGATTTTGTACCTGCTTTGTTCGAACCTGTACGCAGTATGTGGTGATGTGCAAAATGGCTTCAGAGGGCTGTAAACCTGGATTAAATTGTAAATCCTCAATAAACAGTCATGTGCCATTCAGAGAGCAGTTAACCACAACAATTTACGCGAGCGCTCCCTAAAACAGTTTTTGAACTGCTGTATTACAGAAGATACCGGGATTACAAGCTCCGTAATTCAAAGGGTGGACCACGAGGCATCTCGATATTTCACCCGATCATGCCACTTGGGGCCTACAAAACAATGGTATAGAAATACGATAGCGATGTTCTCGAAAATGACTTATTATCTGTAGAATATCCTTTTTCATAATGAGGCTACAACTTAGTTCTGAAAATGACTGATTGAACAAACAACTCTAGGTTTGATTTCATGGCTCGGACGAATTTCGACTATGTTTCACTGCCCACCGCTCCTCGTGGCTAAGCTCACCGGGGGAGAGCTTATTCTCCCACGCCCCGCCCAGAGGATTGAATTATATTTCGAACAAAGTCAGTTTGATTGAAATGGTTAAGTTTCTAAATTTGATTGACATCACATTACGACACAACACAACACAATGCAAGTGGAAGAACACTGTGAACCGCTTGATAGACACGTGTTTCCATAACCATGGTCTTTTCTAATGTCGAGCCTAACCGTACTGGTTGAGATGATGTTATCTAACTTCGGGGCGCGGCTTATTTGCAATGAGCGATAACGGGGTAGGCTTTTTCAGAACTGGCAAAGTTGGTAATTTCCAGATGTCAGCATGGTCGTCAAATGAACACAGCACCTAGTGTTATGATGAGGGTCCATTGAGCCTTGGCAAGTGAGAAAGCTTGGCTCAGATGCTGTTGTTACCCTGAGTCCTCTACCGTCGTAAGGGAGGAGGAGTAAAATGGTATTTTCAACTGGTACACTTCAACGTTCGAAGGGTGATCTTTGAAAGTGGAAGTACTAAATTGGCCGGTGAAAACGGTATCCAGAAACTGGCTGTAATGTCACACCCTACAAGTGGGCAAGATCTGTGGAACCTTTAGCACTAGTAAGTGAAGGTAGCGTTGAATGAAGTGTTCTAGATACTAGGCGAGCATGAGTTGGTTACTGGCGCAAATCAACGGATATAAGGCTTGATTGTGTTTATCCGGTATGACTATTCTTTATTTCTTCCTTTATCCGAGCTTCATCCATCGGAACTATCCAAAATTTATATTCCTCTCGCCCTTAAGTTAATCGATGTGTACAAGAGCTATTTCGAAGAGGTCAAGAAGCGGTCTATGGAATGCCTAGAGCCAGGCGCTAATATTCGCATTCGCCCGACACCCACCGCGGAAGGGTCGCATAACAATCCCGCTACAAACTCTTACCCTCACGCAGAATTCCTTCTTGGTCAGTGCTTCGAGAAGTATGCCAAGGCGTTAGATGTGGACTCCCCTCTTGGTAAGTTCTTATTTTGGATGCACGCACCACTTATCAACTATGTATACATGTCCTGTGGTTTTAGGAACAGAGTCTTAAAAGTAAAGCCAACGTTTGGGTCTATACCCGAATTGTTGGTGCCTTTGTCTAGACTAGAGTGTCATTGCGTTTCACCACAGAACCTACAGAACCTTTGAATTTTATTTTTAGCGTCTCTCAATGCGCGAGCTTGAAACAGGTCAGCGGTACTAAACTCCCGTGTTCTTGTTGATGCTTGTGACGAATAAAAAAGGGCTTTAGGCTGCCTTGATGCTGACATCCAAGCAGATTCACCTGTCTTTTAGGTTAACACCTGAATAGGAAGTGAATTACGTGTTCCGTTACTCGAGCGCGTTTCAGCATGAAGCGGTCAGTAGACCGGCTGCAATATTTTTGCTTCTCTGAGACAAAGGTATCACTTGGAAGATCTTACGAACCAACCCACTTGGCGTCTGGTTCTAACTGAAGCACATCACCAACTTCTTGTTACTACCCCGAATGATTGGAAAGGTTTAAATCAGAAGCATGTGTCAGCCGCGTTATCCACTAGTCACAATGACGTTAGAGCTGAAGATCATTTTGTTGACACGTTAAATTAGCCGCAATATGTCTAGTTTCTTACAAGATGCTTCCTCTTGGATTGACGCAGCTTTTGTGCAGCAGGTTCACGTGAAGAATAGCACAAATAAGATCTTCAGCTGGGATTCAGTCTAGCCTCCCGATAAAACCAAATAAGTTTGCAAATGAGCGCATGTCGCGAGTTACATCCAATTCCGGTTCGAGCAGAATATAAAGTTGATGGAAACTCAGAGACTGCACCTGCATAGTGAGCCTCACGATTAGTGTCTTCCATAAAGGAAGCAATGTTCTCGAGAATTACACTCATTTTCAAATCAATATGGTTTTCATTAGAGACTCAACTGAATCTCTCGTTTATGATATGATGAGCCTCAAGAAGGGCGAAACCGGTTCTGGGCTGTTGAAAAGTTTTCAGCAACCTTGTTAGTAGTTTCCTTTATGAGACAATGTTCTGTTCGATAGTGGAAGATAGGACTCCATTTCATGAACAAAACCCTGTCGGTGCTGTCACTGTGCAGCAGAATGTATCCGTCATCGTCATTATCAGAGACAGCGACGTCAGTGTTGATACTGATGTTTCACGGGCATTCAACCATATAGTTTATTTAATCATGTCTTATTCTTTAGAATGTAAAGAAGAGAAAAGAATGGACGAGAGAAGGGACCTGGTGTAGGTCTATCGCAAGCATTTTGAGGTGCATACATCTCCAAACACTCAATCACACAATCTGGAATGAAACTGACAACACAAATGCCATTGACACTGATCATCCGACATTTTTTGCAATATCTCCAGCCAGCCGCAGGAGGGGTCATGGGTACTCCATTCTGGAAGGAGTGCTGCACCAACAACACCCAAACTCTTCGTAACCTCTTTCATAACTATCTTCTAAACCATACATTGTCCGCCTCGTGGTTTAACGCCATCCTGAAGAGGGCGTAGAGGTATCAGGTAACCAATGGAATCGATTTTCGAAGTATTTTACCCAGAGCTTCAAGCGTCCTGCTTTACTGCATATCATGCAGCGGTTTTGTCCGTGATTATTTTGATGACATGAGGTTTCCGAGGACCTGTCGAAAGAATCGAGTGGAGTGGAACACGGGCGTTCCCAGCATTCTTTACATCTTTCATTTCTTTAGACTTTCGAGTCCACCAAGCTTCTCGGTTTGCACTGACACTACACTCTACTTGAGGTCGGGTGATGCGTTGGATGGAGTTGTGATTGCGACGAGGTGGAATTTGTCGCCGGGCCTCCAGTAAAGACGTGGTCCTACCAGAGACCCAATGTTCGGATGAGGTTGGCTGGGTTGTACCGTAAATGGAAGTTCCGGCGTTGAGTAACACTTTGGATATCTCTTCCCAGTGGCCGTTTATTTCCGACATAGGACCGTCTGGCAGGCATCTGACGAACTGGTTCTGATAGTTTCATGTGATTTCTGGGTCCACCAGCTTGTCAATGACTAAGCGAGGTCTGCGCATTTCGCGTTCACCTGAAAAGCGCAACGAAAAGCAGAAGCATACAAATGCATGGTCGGAGTCCACGCTGGTGTTCCAAAAGGAGCGGCAAGCAGTGACCGACCCTCGCCGCCGGTAACTGATGGCGATGTGATCTATTTGGTTTTGGGGTTGGTTCATTGGTAGGCACCGCGTCGTCAACCGATTCCCGCTGTTCCGGAAATTCGTGCTGCAAAGGGACAGTCTGTAATCGGCACATGTTTGAAAGATCTCTACGATCTCCGTTGTCCGTGCGCCACGTATCTGATTGAAGAGGACGACCCGATTGGACCGCAGCAGCGCTTACTCTACCTACCTGGGTGGTCATGTCACGAGCAACCATAACCATGTCTGAGCCTTTATTGCGTTGTAAAAAAGCACCTAGAACATCAACGAAACTCTCTGGAGGCTTCAGCGCTGCAGTCAATTGGGACGTAAGCAGGCACAATAAGCAAGGTGCGATGGACCTCACTTCCTCTATATTCTCTCAAAGACGTTGGCGAACGAACCGCGCAGAGGCGGCTGTCAACGGGTATCCGGTCAGTATCCCGCTCGGTTGTTCAGCACAATACCCACGTCAGCATATTCAGCTGCAGCGGCCTCCGCATCAACAGAGGTGTACACCCAAAACCTGGGAGAGAGAGATGGGACAGTCAGTGGAATTAAAGTTTCCTGTATCCTTGCTTCTTATGGATAAAATGCATCAATACAGAGGGAACCCAGCGTACTTGCTGGACCCACCTGTTGTACTGCATGCTTCAGTGTGCGAACATCGAGGACAGCTAAGTAAACCGGCTTTCAGGGTCTGAAAACAAATTTCGAAGTGTTTAGAGTTGTCACTGAAATCGGACGTACAGAAGCTCCAGCTGGGTGTGGCGTATGGTGGATAATGCGGTCAGTCCTAGTGCTGGGACATGCGCAGAGAGTATTCGAACTTGGATGGGATAGGGTAGAAGAGTTATAACTTGAAAGTGTAAGAATGGAGGCGTCAGCAAGCATGTTTCCGCTTTTCCACCCTGCTGTATGCAGCAAGTAAGGCGACCCGGCTGATGGCAGCACGCGACGACCGATGCGGCATGAGTTCAGTTGTAAGTATCATGGTTGTACGTGATCTGTGACACCGCCAGTTTTCCCAGATCTAGACGGGAGGAAGGTTAGAGTCCTCAGCCAAAGTCTGTCGCAAGGCGGCGGTGTTTTGACAAGAAGTACAAGTCCATCACCGTTTTCGTAGAACAAGTCGCCATCTGGAGGGCCTGGAGACTGTGTTGGTCAGATCTCTTACCACCGACCAGCCTAGTATGAGAGACTGTGTGAGTGTCGCAGGGACACCCCTCAGTCTAGCTCAATGGGTCACGGCGGCACACAAGCCGTCATACCCACGATAAGCTTCAGTCTCTGTGGCGTGTCAGGAATCAGACGCAATTGATTTAGTCTTCTAACCCGTTGTGGTAAGATCATTGTCACTGTCAATGACGACAGAACCAGTACTCCCTCGCCATAGAAGCGTGCGTACAATTTGTTTACAAAATAACCCAATGAATGCCACTAATATCAGCTATCCATCCTGTTGTACCGTGTCCTAATCCAAACACGAGGGAGTCGGGCAGACCTTGCGCTGGGAGGTTCCCAGACATTGACGGTCAGGGGCCCAGACATTCGTGATATACATGAGGTGATTTCGTAAACATCTGCAAGGTGTGTCTACATAAACGCCCCCTTAGGTTTGAGTTGCATCCACCCTGGCGAGCTTCCAAGACGATAGCTTCTTTGTTCCACCAACTTAAGGAAATTGGTTTCTGACTTGATAATGTGTTGAACTATTGGTAGTTCGGTTGAGTTTCTGACTTATTTTGCCTGATTGATCAGCGACCCATTGGTAGTTCGGTTGACTTATTTTGCCTGATTGATCAGCGACCGACTGACCTTAATGCACCATTGTGGCACGTGCTTGTGATCCGATTCGAACTGTCAAACTGTCGTTTCGCATGATTGATCACCCATTCAAAAACTGAGACCAACGGATTCTAGGACAGATTGACCACATCATACCATGATTCCCCGTTTCATCCGTTTGGCACCCCGGTTCTCTACTCAGTGTGTTCTAATGACCGTATGTATCTATTCCATTTTTCGCACAGTTCTCATTGGTTATTGGTTGTGAACTCGACAATCCTTGATGTGTGTAGAATTGTTACAATCGGTAATCCCGACATTGCTACAAATTCACTGTGTACTTGTTAGTGTTTTCTCACTAGATGCATTTGGATTCCTACCGCTCGTTATGTATTCGAGGAATCACTGTTGGTTACCGCGTCTCATCTCTATTCTTAAGGGTACTGGATGGATACTGGATTCTTGATGAACACCGGTTGATTCTCAAAGAAATTTCCATCTAAATGCGGGCCCTAACGCTAGATTAAAATCGTTCAGCTGTTACATCCAACCTGCTATGCAACCCAAAGGAAGTACGTGGGCGTAGGTGCTTCCAGGCTACCAAGGGGAGAGAGAAGCAGTCGACATTCAGGGCTAGGATTCGAACTTGCCGAACAGTAAATTCTCGCCTTCACCACTGAGCTATTTCGAGCTCGGCTTTAGCTAACAGAGGGTTTCAGGTGTTGCTGATTCGCCGATTGTTCTTCGAACTGGTGAAAACAAGGTTTTCGCTCGACAACTGTTCATTTTATTGTTCGCCCATCACGTCTTCTTGATCATGTGATCGATATATTTGCTGTTCAAAATATGACCGTTTTCGATTAGCTCTAAATCTGATTACATATGGGGTATTGGATGAGATGTTTCAGTGGTTCGAATGCGAATCGAATAACCGGAGGGTCCTTGGTTCGAATTCGACTTTTGCATCTCGACTTCTCCTGTCTAGGCTTGGGCAAACTGATAATGTCTCAGCCTT